AATAAGCTTGCAATGAGCACTTTAATTCTGCGCAAGCAAACTTTCACGAATATATGACATTAGGTTTTCAAAAATTTGATCAGTGATAATTTAAAATTCCATTCACATTCATATTTTATAATTTTATTTTTCAAAATTTAGTCAATTTTTCTGTCAAAATTTGAAAAGTTTTTTGAAAATTTAATTTTTTTTCAAAATTCAAACTAGCGTAGCGAAATTTTCCAAACTTTTTAAAAATTTTGTTAAAATTCATATTTTATAAAGTCTACTTATGACAATAAATCTTACAAGCAAGTATGCATTATTTGTATTGTTCAAATTAATTGCTGCAGCAGTTGGCTCTATTTTATTTATTCAAAATGTGATCTGACAGCACTTAAACTTACTTTATGCTTGTCATACAGCTGAAATTACTTCAAAATTAGTTCAATTTCTTCTTAAAATAATATTAATTATTAGACAATTGTTCATTTAGTTGAGACATAAACTATAAATTTTTCGAGCATAAGAGTGAGTACTTTTTCTTTCCACTTTGCTTTCAGAATGCATGAAAATATAAACTGAAATTCTGTTTGAGTAAGAGTAAATGCTTCAATTGCTATACTAAATAACAAAAAAAATGCTTTTATATTTTAATTAATGTTAATTTTGATGCACAAAAATACAAGTGAGATATGAAATTAAATTAAAATGAATTACTTATATTGAATAATTGCCTGAAATAACATTAATTAAATAGAAGACCTCATAATTAGTGATTTTTGATAATTAAAATTGGAAAGTATGTTAATCCTAAAAAAGTTAGTGCTTTAAGTAGTTTAGTTGAAAAAAATTTTCACGCAATTTATTAGAGTGGAAATTAAGATTGTTAGAATAGCAATAATTAGGTATTAGAATGATGAAAATTTGGTGTTTGATGTTGTACATTTTTATTTCATCTGAAGTTACAAATCGTTTTCATTTTAATTTTTAAATTATTTCAATTTTATGCTTTGCTGTTTTTATCCTTACCGAGTAAGCTTCTATTACATCGCAACTGGTATCCTCATTAATCGGATCTTGCGTAGAAATTAGAGGGCAGAGTTGATCACTTGGTACTAAACGACCATAAAATACATTTTGAAGTATAATATGCGTGTTTTTTGGACAGTGTAGAGTGATCCTCTCGTCATCACATGCTTGTACAAGATTACTTCGTAAGCTTTCCATCATGAAAGCTGTAAATTAAATGTTATTTTTATGCAGAATTGAATTCATGAACTGAAAAAATAAAAATTTTAACTGATTTTTATGTATCCAAAAAACAAAGAGAGATTTATTAATATGAAGAGATCAAATTTCAAAATGTTAAAAAAATATTTTCACTAGGTTACTTATCTACTTTTTTCACTTTTGCTAATACAAAAATAAAATTGCTTTCACTAATTTTGATTTTAATTTCAATGTCTGCAAGCTAGAATAAAAAATTTCAATGATAAATTATTATTGTGTTTGAAAAAAATAAGCATAAATAATTTAGTGCAGAGTTAAGGTTGAGACTGTTATTACATAGCATGAAAAATTAGCATAAGCAAATCACAGCAATATGTGACAATATGGCAGTTGTGAATAAAAAACGTTATAAAAATTTAAGAAAAAAAATACTGCAACTTTAATAATAATATTAAAATTGTTTGAATAATTTGTTATAAATCTTTTAGTTCATCATTTCCAGAAAAAGTTTTCATTAATTATATTATGCAATACAAATAAATTTATTGCAGCAGCTGGAAGTATTCATATTTCGAATATTTAAAAAAAATTTTAGAAAAGACAATTTGACATTTTTGAAAAAAGTATTTGTGCATAAAAATACTGAAATTTGATATGAAATAATATCAAAAGTGACAAATAGCTTTCCTTCAAGTTTTTTGAAGTTAAACGTAAACTTACACATTACACAGTTTCCTTGAATTTAAAAAAGTGTACTCCAACGGATAATTTATTTCTTCTTTAACAATTTGCTTTTTCAATAAAAAATATTATTCTAAAATTTGATTTCCAAACATTTGTAATATACTCAAATATATAATTAACTGTCAATTTTTTAAACAATTAATAATTAATTAATGAATTTAATAGTGGAAAACAAATATAACTGCACAAATGTACAAATTATTTACTTACATAAATGATATTAAAATTAGAAATAATATAAATAATTACCATTTATATCAATTATGCAAAAAGAAATTATGATAATGTCTTTATTGTGTAACATAGTAGATATTCAGATGCAAGACCTAATAAAAATAGCATTAATAATGAAAAATAATGAATAGAAATAATAATTACGTGGTATAAAGTGTAAAATGAACAACTGCCTAGCATTTATTTTAAATAATAATCATGGTTTTATTAATATGATAAAGATATAATATAATTTACATCACACATTATATCACATCACATAATGCCTCACTATTTACTTTATTTTACTTAACAATATATATGTCAATTATTCAGTGTGATAAATGTTATAGTAGGAATGATAATACAATTTTCTGACGTGTAATAACTGAAATTTTTAATCGAAAAATCAATAATAATAATAATAGAAATAATAATAATAATAATAATAAATGATTTGCAGTTGTGGCTTAATAATATATTTTTTTTGTAATTTGCCCATTAATACTAAACATAAGCAAATAAAGTATAATAGTTTCAATGTCTGACATTATATTCAAAAGTCAAATATATTTAATAACAATATTATGAATGAAATTATAATAATTCCATAAAAGAAAGTTTTTTAGCAATTAAAAATTGTCATAATTTTTTGAAATGCAATGAACGACATCTGTGCGACTAGCATAAATGAAACAATTTCTCGTTTTCACGCAAATAAATCTTTTTTTGAAGTCTGAAAATAAGTAATAAAAAGCTTAAAAAATACGTCTTTCGTTACAATGCATATAACTTCCAAATTTAATTGTTAACTGAGAAATACGTCTTGTCGGCGAATGATAGCACAAATGTATATAAAAATATAAAATTAGCATAAACTGCGGGAATTTGATCACAAATCGCAAAGTGGAAAGGAATGCATTATTTATTGTATAATTTAAAAATGATTTAATTTTTTTACAAATTACAAAATTGGTATTTAGCATTTTAAAGCTCATTCAGTGTACATAGAATTATTCGATTCGGTTATTTGCATATTTGAAATTACTGAATTTTTTACTAATTACTTAAGTTTTTAGTTTAAAAACACTACTGATTAGAAAGAGCGTTTTTCAGCATAATTTGTAAGCAAATTTTTGCTGTTAAAGATATTAATAAGTGAAAATTTACTTCGAATTGATTCTAAAAATGCAAGTTTTATTAAAGTTTGCATCTTTTCATTAAGTTATGTTATGACCATTTTCATCAATTGTTACAAGTGAAGCATACAAATACATCTGAAGAAACATTAAGGAACAGCACTGCAGCAAAAAGTTTTCAATTCTTTTATTCCATAGTAATTGAAAATTTGATTTGAGGTCAAAATGCTTTTAGTCCATCAAAAGTAAGCATGCAAAACTAACGATAGCTAAATACTCAATTTCTATTTTTTTAAATAATACTTAAATTAAAGTAGTACTTATTTTATTCATTTGTATCAGAAATTATCAACTTTCAGCCTTCATAATTTAGCATTACGAATTTACAAAACTGTAAAACTGTTAGACAAACATGA